AAGAGATGGAGTCAGAAAACCAAAAGGGACAAACTCACTTGGCATTTCTTGAATGGAAAAACAAATTCTAGCCTTGAGTTGCAGTATTTAAGGATGTTATGGGCAGAAAGTTGAATAATTAAAGAAGCACCAACTGAAGATGGAAGGAGTACACTAAGTCACTGTACTGAGAAGAATTGAGTAACGCAGAAGAATTTCATGAAACAATTTATGTTTCAAGAGGTAATGGTGGTGAAAGAGGATGTTCAAGCTGCTCTGAAGGAATTGGCAAAAAAACGAGGCCCCAGAATTGATGGAATATCAATTGATATATTTAAACAAACAGATGCAGCCCTGGATGTGCTCACCAGGTTGGGCCAAAAAATTTGGAGGACAATCATCTGGCCAAATGACAGGAAGAGACCCATATTTTATTCTCATTCTAAAATAAGGCGATCTGACAGTGTATGGAAATTGTCAAACAACATCGTTACTATCACATGCAAGCAAAATCCTGCTGAAGATTATTCAAAGATGACTGGAAACGTACATAAAACAGAGAACTACCAGAAATACAGGCAGAGTTTAGAAGAGGCCATGGCACTAGATACATTATCTCCAATGTCAGCTAAATCTAGGCTGAAAGCAAACAGTACCAGTGGAATGTCTGCCTGCTTTTCATTGATTATGCAAAGGCATTTGACTCTGTAGATTGAAACAAATTGTGGCTAACCTTGAGACGCATGGAAATTCCAAAACAGTTGATTGCACTCATGCAACACCTATACTTAGACCAGGATGCAGTCGTCAGAACAGAGCAAGGAAACACTGCTTAGTTCAAATTAAGGAAAGGAGTATGTTAGGGATGTGTCCTATCATTATCTCTTTTCAATTTGTATGCATAACAAAGCATTAAGGAGGCTGGGCTTTATAAGGACAAATTTGGTATCAAGATCTGATGAAAAATCATCAACAACAATTTTCATTATGCAGATGATACAACCTTGCTTGCCGAAACTGAGGAGGAGCTGAAGGTTTTGCTGCAGAAAATCAAGGACTGTAGTCTTCAATATAGAATGAAGGTCAACATCAAGAAGACAAAGCTTTTCACCACTGGGCCAACTGGAAGCATCATGATAGGTGGAAAAAGATATTATGGTGCTAACAATTTTAGTTTGCTTGACTCTACAATCAGCACACCTGGTACCAGCAGTCAAAAAACCAAAAGACAAATTGCTCTAGGAAGGCTGCTTTCAGGGATCTTTCCAGAGGGCTGAAGAACAATGAAGACTAAGGCATCCAATCTTCACAATTACTTTCTATGCCTCAGGCAGCTGGACGGTGAGTAGGGTTGACAGAAGAATTTATGCCTTTGAGTTGTGGTGCTAAAGAAGAGTATTGAATATGTCATAGACTGTCAAGAGAACAAATAGGTTGCTTCTTGGAGGCAAAAGTTTTGAAGCTCAATCTCAAATACTTTGTGCACATGTCCATGAGTGACCAATCTCTGGAGAAGGGCATTATGCATGGAAGGGTGGAGGGACAAAGCAGGAGAGGATGAGATGACAAAGACCCAGGATGAGATGGATTGACACAGTCAGTCACTGGCGGAATGGGGGGACAGTGTGTTGGAGACAGTGAGACTAGCTCAAGATACAGCAGAGTTCAGAGTTATTGTACATAGGGTCACAATGAGTTGTAGGCAATTCAATGGTACCATAACAATAATCACAGTTATGTTTTAGTGGTAATATAGATTTTTTTTGCCCATTTTGTTATATTTGTGTGGTTTTAAATGACAATTATTCCATGTCTGTGAATAACTAGACTATTTCTTGCCCCTGGTTATGTTACTAAATTGTCAATTTTTCCTAAAACATAACTTATGCTTTGAAGTGTTTTTAGACAGTTGCAATTTATTACATGGTGGAATGAGAATAATCTCAGCCTGTGCTCCCAGGTGAATAATTGGAGTTAAAAGTGGAAGAAGACATAGGCCTACCCAGTAAGAATTGTAATCCAGAGAACAGACAAATTAAATATTCCATGGGTAGAGCATGCTACAAGTTACATGTACAGCTGATGACAATGAGTATGCTAAAGAGTCTGATGCCGGATATCTAAACAAGTACAGGAGTTAGAATAGCTGCATGTGGTAATAATGATCCTGGATTTTGAATGAAGACTCTCTTTGCCATTAAGTCAGAACCACCTCACAGTAGACACTCCATTGGGTTGTTGAGGTGGTAAATGCTAGGGGCAAGTGATCACCCACCTTTCTCCCCTGGTGGAGCCACAGGTGAATTTGAACTGGCAGAGAGTCAGGAGCAGAACTCCCTACTGACTATAATGTCATTGATCCCTTGAACAATGAATATTGTCATCTCTTGCTATTGAGTCAGAAGCAACTCATAGCTGACCTTGCAGTGGGTCTTCAGAGGCAGTAAGCTGTATGGGAGGGGATGGCTCATCCTTCTCCTACAGAACAGTTCGCGGAATTGAACCATCTACCTTTCAGTTGCCAGAAACTCCTTAGTGAGGCCACCAGAGTTTCCTAATTATGTTATTTGATGTGAATTATTAATAGATTGAGAACAATTCTGTATGATATCTTTAGAAATATTTCTTTCAAAGTCTTCTGAGTCAAATTCTGATTCACAGTTGATGCTCTCACGGGTCCAAGGTGTAAATCACTCCGCTTTAAATCATCCATCTTTCTCACTTCGAGGGACCAGTGAATTTGAACCCTCAGCGATAAACAGCCTTTGGTTAGCAGCACAACTCCCTATAGCATCTTTTACTTATTTTTTTAATTAATGGGACATGTGTTAATCTAACATGTAATATACATTACTTATTTTTTTATTTCTCCCCTCTAATTTTTTTATTGGTTTGTATATAATAACTCATATGCATTGTGCTTTATGCATGTACATTTTGTTTTATATAATCTTTCTTTGATATTGTGTTTTAT